CATGTGCTTCAACATACTTGAACCTGATTGCAATAGAACTTGCAAATATATATTTAGGTATGGTGTGTCATGTATGTGTTAAGAGAAGCCAATTTACATTTAAACCCAGAACCAAATTTCACCTATCTGTGATTTTTGTGTCGTCGTAACGAGCATTTGAGAACTGAGAATTCTGAATGGTACTGTCAGTACTCATGATTGGGCTGGTTAGGCATTTTGTAAGTAAGTCAGCTATGATTTCCTTCGTGGAAATATACAGCTGATGTTAATCATACCGTTGTGTGCAATTGTATGCACAGTCTCTGATCTGAAATATATAGAGATAGTTTAACCGGAAATACACCGATCCTCAGCGGCCTCGTCGTCGCCACCCGAAACAACTCTCATACAATAGCTCTAGAAAAGCCACTAACAAAGAAGATGCTCACAGCTATCAAAACCCGGAAGTAGTTGATTGGTAGATCAAAAGCCGGGCACAGTGCATTGGGCTTAGGCATTATCTTGAACGAACAAAGATCGGAGAGGGTCATCGAAAAATGAGTTGATCAGCAACAGCATTGAGGAGCAGGGAATTTATGGTGTCAGATGTCACACGTACAAAACAGCCAAAGACAACGTGGATATGTTCCGGAAGGCTGATCGGCTTCAGAATTTAAGCAAACAATTAGTCAGCGAGCTGGAATTATTGGAGATTGGCGATGATATAATATATAATGTACGCCAATATACCTAACAACATCATCAGGAAAATGATATGTAACTGTCATACATAATAAGTATACCCGAAAAACATCTGCAGGAGAACGAGATGTAACTCTTGCACATAAGAATAATACAGAAAACTCTAAATATAGCTTATTTTATAGGGAGCTAGAAACTCTTACCAAATTTAATTGTTGTATATTTAGGATACTTTGAGATATTTATATTATAATAAACTGGCTGCAAATTGTGGGTGAATCCTATAGCACATGGTTATATTGGTGCATCAGGAAGGTCACGGGAAACACAAAGCTAGGTTTAACCTATAGGAATAAGGTTAACCTATTCCGAACCCCCCCCCCCCCCCCCAGAAACCTAATTAGGGGTTTTGCATTAACTAGGCCAGACTGTACGATTGGAGAAGCTGGGTGGTAAAATATCTATTTGGCGAGACATTGTGTGAGAAGATCAGCAGGATATAGCTAAAACTAATCATGCCCTCTCGGGCACAGTCACGCGAATGTAGTGAGCACGGACGTTAACGTGCTGGAGGCATTTCGCCGTGCCTGTCCCGAGAGCAGCCTTAATAGCTGATTGGTTATCCACATTGAGGTGAGTAGGAGTCAAAACTGCTTGGCCCATAGCGAGGAGGATGTTTCGTATCCAAACGGCATCACGGGTGGCATCGGAAACTGCGCTGCAGTCGGTGTGGTGGAGAGAGAATGTTTTGGTATTGACCAAGTATTGATGAATACGACTCAGTGCGTCGTAGTGAGAGGTGGAAGAGCGACACTAAACGCGGCCAGCTGATTTAGCGCATACGCAAAATCGGGTTAAGTTGTGTTGGCTGCAAAGCCGAGGGCCTCAAGAAGTTTCCGATATTTACCATTAAAAAATCCTGCCACTGAGAGTACCCGAATTGGAGTGTATTTGGGAGGAGGAGCCGTGAGGGCGTCGAGAACGTGGGCCATGCGATCGGTATGCGTCCTGCGTAATCGCTATATAATACAGAAGGATGTTGAATAATGCGGAGGCCAACGAGGTGTCGGGCAAGCCCAAAATTATTCATGCTGTACGTAAGAGACAGCTGGTCGAAAAGCCACTCAGCACTATCAGAATCGCGGGCCACTGCATGGACCACTTCGTCAACAGAAATAGCAAGAATAATATTGCGCTCAGAGTATGAAGCCAGAAATTCTCATCGTGTTTGATTTGGAGAAATCCCAGGTGAAGTATTGTCCGTCCGATATCCTGGTTTCAGAGTCTGCCGGCTTGTTTGAGACCGTGAAGGCCTCGGAGGAGTTTAAGAACCGTTTTGGGCGCGTAGTGGCCCAGCTCGACGCTGCCTTTTGGTGGAGACAAATACACTTGGGTATCAAATTTGGAATGCAGTTAGGCGGTGTTAACATCAAAATAGTATAACGGGCCTTTCACCATTTTCATCATGCTTACGGACGACCGAAATTCTTGCCGACATCTTACCCCTCTGCGACATCCCCTCCGCTGCCAAGATTCTTCATTCAAAGCATGTGTTTTAGTCGGGGGAGGCTTGGGCTTTGGCAATACTCTTCGGGAAGGTATCATTGAAGAAATCATTGGTACCAGCTAGGGTGAACTCAGGTCTGGTTGTAGGAGTGACGGTTTTAATGCGGTGATTAAGTTAGTTAGTACGGTGAGCCTGACGTCGGCGCTGGTATGTAACTATTCAGCGGAGGAGAGTACGGCGCACAGGATATCGCGGAGAGCGGCGGGTTCCAAATCAGAGAAGTCAGTAGTAGGGCCGGGGCCATATGAATACTGGTGTTGTGATTGGCGTGTAAAAGGCTGCCAGGTTAAAGTCAAAGCCAAAAT